TCATGGTGCTGCAGCATCAGGTGCAGCAGCAACCCGAACCCCGAGCAGCAGCTGCTCCGTTGCATCGGTTTGCTGCTTGCGGATAGGAGCAGCAGCAGCAGCTTCAAGCCAAATGCCTTTGCCTAGGGGGCAGCAAATGCCTAACCCCACGCTGCAGCGGTATGCATGCACCAGAGAACGTACACGAGACAACAAACCTTCCTGCTGCTGCTGCTGCTGCTGCTGTTGCTGCTGCAGCAAAGAGCTGCTAAATACATTTCCTAAGCTGCCTACACTTCCAAATAAAAACACACGAGGGTGAAAACCCCCAAATCCTCTCTTCTCGCCGCTGCTGCTGCTGCCGCTGCTGCTGCTGCTGCTGCTGCTGCTGCTGCTGCTGCTGCTGCTGCTAGGGAAGTGGAAGTCGTAGGCGAGGCAGACCTCAGAGCCGAAGAAGGCGTCTCCCCCCAAATAATCATTCACAGGAATGCACACAGAACGGCTCTTGTCTATGGTGTACGCTGAGCAGCAGCAGCACAAGCAGCAGCAGCACAAGCAGCAGAAATAGCAGCAAAAACACGCAATGAGGCGCTGCAGCGCATGCAGCAGAAACTGCCGCACGTATAATACACCCAACGCTGTGCAGTTAGATAATAACAGAATCAACAGCAGCAGCTTATGCATTAACAGCAGCACATGCAGCAGCAGCAGCAGCACCACCACAAACAGCAGCAGAAGCGACGGCAACATAAGCATCATCAACATCATCAACAGTAGCAGCACCATAATCATCATCAACAACAGCAGCAGCAACAGCAGCAACAGCAACAGCAGCAGCAGCAGCAACAGCAGCAGCAGCACAAGCAGCAGCAGCAACAGCAGCAGCAGCAGGGTTTAATTACCTTTGTCTGTGGGCCCCACTGCAAAAGGTTTGAAGGCTCTGAGCGGCGCTGCGGCCCCAGCGAAGTAAAATCGGTCATCCAGCGGAACAGCAGCAGAACGTGCAGCAGGAAGCAGCAAACCTAAGCCCAGACGCCACGTCAGCACCCAAGGGCTCTCCTTCCTGCTGCTGCTGCTGCTGCTGCTGCTGCTGCTGCTGGTTGGGAAGCTGAGAGGGATAGCAGCAAATGCATGCGCTTCTCCCTTTATAAAACGAGTGTCTCCTCCAGGAAGGGCAACCTCTGCTGCAGCATTTAATGCGTACCCCTTACGCGGCAGCAGCACAGGTGCAGCAGCAGCAGCAGCAGCAGATGGGCGGTCGAGCTGGTCGTTGTTGTAGATGTATTTAAAAGAGTGTTTAAATGAGGCCCAGGGCATAGCAGCAACAGAAGGAGAAGCAACGCGCTGCTGCTGCTGCTGCTGCGTAGACAGACAAGGAGCAGCAGAACGGCTGATGAAGCTGAGAGAAAATGTGTGTCTGTTGCTGCTGCTGCGCACCTCTGCTGCTGCTCCCTTCAGGCGGGTAAGAGATGAATTAAAGGCTGTGTTGTCTCTGCTGCATCCAAAGACCCGGAGCACTGCAGCAGGAGAAGGCAGCAGCCCCCAGTGCTGCTGCTGCTGCTGCAGCTGCATGCGCTGCTGCAGCTGCTGCAGCAGCGGGAGCCGGGGCAGCAGCAAATCCGCAGCAAAGTGTTGACTAGGACTCCAGGAGGACAGCGCACAAGCCCCCCTAATATTGAGGCTGCTGCTGCCTCCATTAACAGCAGGTAGATTTGCTGCTGCCTCCAGCAGCACTTCGCCTGTGCTGCTGAGGGCTGTACCGACGCTGCAGCGGCGCTGCTGCTCTCGCAGCAGCAGCTTCACAGACACCTCTTCTTTTTCTTTTCCGCACTCTACTTGGCTTATTGTCTTGTCAAATATTTGTAATGAAGACAAACGACTATGCAAACCCTCAAGAGCCAGCAGCAAATCCCCTACTGTACGCGCACCTGCAGCAGCAGCAGCAGCAGCAGCAGCAGCAGCAGCAGCGGGTCAGAAAAAATCATCCACACACAACAACGCACACAGCAGCAACGGAACCTGCAGCAGCAGTAGCAGCTACAGCAGCAGCACAATCATCATCATCATCAGCAGCAGCAGAAGCAGCAGCAGCAGTAGCAGCAGCAGTATGATGTATGTGTGTAGTCTGACTTTGTACAGGCCGCAGATCAGCAGCAATTGTCTCCAGCTTAATTCTCTTCAATCCCTTCACAGAAACCTCAACCTTCTGCAAACGCCGTCCCAAATCTAAGTTCAAGGGGGCCCCCTTAGGGTCAACTGGGGGCCCCTCCGTAGGCCCCCCTGGGGGCCCATTGAGGCCAAATTGGGGGCCCCCTGCGGGCCCCTTTGGGTCAAGTGGGGGCCCCCCTGGGGGGCCCCCCAGGGGCCCCTCTCCTCTTTGCATTAAGAAGAAGGAAGCGGTAGACAGAAGAAAGGGTTTATAAAATAACAGAGAGAGAGAGAGACAAAGAAAGATAAAAGAGAGAGGCAGAGAGTAGAGACAGAGAAAGCGTAAGGGCTGTAGAAACCCTACTAAACCCTAAACCCTAGAAAGCCCCAGTTGTACAGAAGGCCGCCGCTGTAAACCCTAAACCCTAGTAAACCCTAAATCCTAATAAGCCCCAAACCCTATTAAACCCTAAACCCTAATAAACGCTGAGAAGAGGCTGATAGAGACAGCAGCAAGTTGAGGAGATAGCAAAGAGAAGAAAACTTGAATAAATAGGTGCGGCCATTTGAAGCAGAGAGTGCTTCGGGTGTATATACAGTGCAAACCCCTAAAAAATAAAAAATAAAATAATAATAAATAAAATAAAATTAAAAATAATAAAGAGTAATATTATTTAAGCGCTGTAAGCATAGGGCGCCCTCAACCCCCAGCAGGCTGCAGCTGTCTCTGATGTTTCTTTCCTAAACAAATTATAATTTCTTCTGTCTTTCTAATAAATAAACAGCAGATATTTTAATTCATCTTAAACAAATAAACAACTAAATGCATACACAAAGACATACACTCAGATGCTTCACGTGGGGCTGCTTGCATGCAGCAGCAACACAACAAACCAGGAGACAGCCCTAACTCTTCTTCACTTTTGTTTGCTTTTGCGTATATATATATATATATACACCTATATATATATGTTGTTGTGTCTGTCTTATTATTCTCTGTCTTCCTTGTATCTAGTTTAATATAGACGCATATATGCATACATATATGTATATATATATATATATATATATAATATGAATAGAATTAATATTATTAGTAATAATAATAATAATAATAATAATACTATTATTATTATTATTTTATATACGCATTTATGCATATGCACCAGGTTACGAATTCTTTTCTATGGTGTCTTGGAGATGCAAACAGATAAAGTATCGTCAATTTGTACCCCTTAATGCGGCCTAGAGGGTGGGGGGGCCCTCAGAAAGGGGCCCCCTGGGGGCCCTCCGGAATTGGCTATAAGGGGCCTCCTGAGGGCCCCTCAGAAAGGGGCTGAAAGGGGCTGAGAGGGGCTGAGAGGGGCTGTCTGGGGGCCCGCTGCAGGTAGTACAGAGAGAAGGCAGCCTGTCGTCTCCCCTCAACTGGTGTTGCTAAGCAAAAGCCCCGCATGCATGCATCAGACCCAAGGGTCTTCATTGCTGCATGCACTAACTCTGTACGCAATCGTTATGTACGCACTTCACCCGCAGCAGCAAATTTGCACAAATATATACAAACGTAGCTTCAAGCGAGTAATGCTACATCTGCCCTCCCGTCCTTCGCCAAACAGAGCGCTCTTTCGTGTATAGACACCGCCTCAAACACCGAAAATGAGAGAATGAATGCAGCGCTAAGGGAGGCTATCGGCAACTGGCAATGCCGCTTCAATTTGCTGCTGCTGCTGCTGCTGCGGCTGCTGCTGCTGCTACTGTTGCTGCTGCTGCTGCTGCTGCTAACTCCCGCACTGGGGCGGCCAGCAGTGGCCAACGGCTCTGTTGTGCCGATAAGTTGGGCGGAGTGCAGATTTGGTGGTGCGCGCAGCTCTACCCAACAAAAATATTCGTTTAAGCGACTTCAACGCGGAACACTCATCCCCACGCCTGTGAGAAGGTATATATATATATATATATATATATATATATATATGAACATGTATCTATGTATACATTTATATAATATATATATATATATATATATATACAGAAAAGTATGCGGGAACAGGAAGTGCCTTCATCGGCTCTGTCGGGCGTTAGCTGTAGATTTGTCGATGTTAGAAGAAGAGAGAGGAAACAGTTACAGACAAGTGTAAAGAATAATAAAAGATAAGAAGGCTCTCTGTACACCTGAGGACAGAGACAGCATCCAGACAAAGGACCAGGCAGGGTGTCTTGGCCGCTGTAAGACAAGAAATGCATCACTCCACCTCCCCATGTGCTAGGTGAGAAGGAAGGAGAAAGAACAAAAAAAGGCGCAGTAAGCAAACCAACATACACACAAACAGGATGCATGCACCTACTCTTTATTAGTGACAGTGGTAGCACTACACCACCAGACTTTAACTAATACCACCACAAACAAAAGCAAAAAGCACCTGTGGAGTTGAAGAAAGAGAGACAGGCGGCTTACTGGCTACTAGAGAAGAATCATCAGGAGACGAACAGCTGCACATACACCTGAAGCGGATGTAGGACAAAGCCCAGTGCGCTCAAATACCTGCACCATGCTACAGCTAGCTGCACTGTAGCTAGCTGCAGGTAGCTATTGTGAACGAGCAGTTAGCTTCCTGGATTTCCTTGGCTTGTTCGCTACCCAGATAGACAAATGGGAGGCTAGCTGGCTAGCTAGCTGGCTAGCTGGGTAGCTAGTTACACAGGTAGATAATTGGCTAGCTAGCTAGCTAGCTAGCTAGCTAGCGAAGTATATACCTGGGCATATATTTTTTGCGTAGTATAGTGAAGAAGAGCGGAGGGTGTCTAGGGTTATAAGTGGGCCCATTAATCTCCTCTTAACCAGCAGTGTGGGTTATTTGAATACTCAAATTTAAAGAGAAATTAAAATGTACTTCAAATGCAGCAAATTGATACACCTCCCCTATCGATTGTCTATGGCGTGCTGTATGCCGAGACACCCGAGCTTGGGCGGCTGAGGGTATGGTGTTTGTTTTCTTATATTTGTTTCTTATTGAGTAATAAAGGGCGATAAATAATCAAATACGTAGACTTTGTTGCGAGTAAATGGATTAAATATCAACAAACAAAGCCTAAAAAGAAGAAGAAACGAAGTGCTGTAGGGGGGAGAGACATTCATAGAGTTTAGCTGCAGCGCTGCGGTGTTGAGGGCGGCTGTAGTACCGTGTATGAGGTATTCTTTGTATGTTTGGTTTAATTTAAAGAAAATAAATTGCAAAATGGTATATAAAATGAATTAAATAAAACATATACTCAAAAATTTCGAGAAAATTGCCTCAAAGATACCCCTACAGCTCTCTGTCTGTCTGACGGCCTCTTATTGGCCTTCTTCTTTGCTTTCTTATTTTCCTTTTCTTTTACATTTTAACTATTTAAACAAGAACAATAAACTTGTTCTTTTTATCAATTTACTTTGAAGAAAGAAGAAAACCTAGCGGCCCTCTGATTATATCCCCTTCCCCCCTTGCGGTGTATAACCATTGGACTATCCACTCTGAGGTGTACGTACACCGCAGTCATCTAAACCCTTAAACTGCTTTCAAACGCGTATACACACAAAACAGCATTTTAACCCTTCCTCTGAGGCCCTGCAGACTGGCAGAGAGGCCCCCTAAGGCCCTCAAAGCCCCCAGCAGCAAAGCGAGCACAAAGAAAGAGGAGGACGAAAGAAGAAACAGAAAGAACAAAGAGAAATCACGAAGATAAAGAATCAAGAGAAGAAAGAAAGCGCAAGAAGAGAGAGAGAGAGAGAGAGCTAAAAGAAGAAGAAGAGGAAGCCAGCGAAGAAGAAAAGAAGCAAAGAAATACGAAAAGAAGAAAAGAGTAGAAAACAAGAATTAAATATATAAACAACAATATGGCGCCCAGACGAGAATCTACTCAAAGACATCATGATGAATCTCTTCTTATGATTCCTCCTCCAGGCTTTAAATTCATCCCGAGATACGAGCACGTAAGCACACATATAACTGCTTCTGCTGCTGCTTCTGCTGCTGCTGCTGCTGCTGCTGCTGCTTCTGATGCTGCTGTGTCTGTTGCTGCGTATGGTTCTGATTTTTCTGTTTCTGCTTCTGCTGCTTCTGCTGCTGCTTCTTGTGCCGTTGCTGCTGCATCTGTTTATATTGCTGCTGCTGCTGTTGGTGTTGTAGCACACGCAGCAGCCCTTAGAAATGCACAAGAGAAAATCATTCTAAAGAAGTATATTTTTCTCAAGTGCATGCATATAGAAGATATTGTATTAAATGCGTTTAAAGAGAGGTTTATAAAAGGTGTTTTAAGAGAGTTTATTATTGTAGAGAGATCTATAGAGAGAGTTTATGAAGGAGATTTACAAAGAAGTATTGATGAAGCTGCAGCAAAAACAAAAAGAAATTTAAATTCTGCTGTTTTGCTGCAGTTATTCTTTGTCTTTGTTTGTTTGCTTGTTTGTCGTTTACTCTTTTTTTCTTGTTTTTGTTTGCTGTTTGTTGATTGCACTTTACTCTTTATCTTTTTATCCTTTGCTGTTCTTCATTATTATTTTGTTTCTTGTGTATCTTTTCTTTCTTTGTTTAATAATTTGTTGTTTTTATTTGTTTTCTCTTTTATTATATTTTATTATTTCTGCTGCTGCTTTTTGTTTTTCATGCTTTGTTTGTTGGGCATTATTATGCTTGCTCTATTATATATTAAATTCTTTTAAATTTATTATTATAAAATATATTTTTAATTTCTTTTTACTTCTTTCTTTTTATTCTTCTCTTTTGTTTAAGTTTGCATTCGTACAGCCTTTGTCTGATGCATCTTCTATAATAATATATATCAACTAATAATATATGTAATATATTTTATTATTCTTTTTCTTTCTTTTTCTTTCTTTTCTTTTGATCCCTGACAATTCTTTTCAATTCTTTTCTGCCCCTTGTTTATTTTAGTTGTTACTTTCTTAATTGTTTCTCAGTCTGATTTCTTTTATTTGCTGTTTATTTTTGTTTAATTCTTTTTTTTATTTCTGTTTATTTCTGTTTATTTCTGACGATTGTATTTGACTTCTGTTAATTTTATATAAATTTTTGAATTTTCTGTTGTTTTCATTCCTGTTTATTGTTTTTCATTTCTTTAAATGTCTGTTGATATCTGTTGATATAATTTCTATTTATTTATGTTTTTCTTTTGTTTATTTCTGTTATTATTTGCCTCTTTAGGTCTGTGGACAAGCCGGTTGTTTTGAGTGTTTTGATATTTATTGCGAGCGCTGCGAGTCTAAAGACAGAAGAATAATTGAATTAGAAATGAGAAATAATGACTTAGCAAAATATATAGCACAGCTTCAAGCTAGGGTATTTGGCCCGGCCTCTCAGCTTGCTTCTTCTCCTGCTGCTGCTGCTGCTGCGGCTGCTGCTGCTGCTGCTGCTGCTGGAGCAGCAACAGGAGTAGGAGCAGGAGGGGCAGCAGCAGCACCAACAGGTGCAGCAGGAGCTGCCTATACACCTTCAATGTTCCCGCAGCAGCAGTTGCAGCCAGGTGCAGCTCTAGGTCAAACAAATCAGAAAGATAAACTACGAACAGGTAAACAAATATATCTACAGGCATATATTCAGACACAAACCCTTCAATGCATTACGCTTTACGGTTTAGGGTTTAGGGTTTAGGGTTTTGGGGGGATATGTGTGTGGGGTGGTTGTGCTTTGTTCGGTTGTCTTTGTGATGTTAGTTATATTTGCTTTTTTATTTAATGTTTTTTGTTTTATTTATTGCCTTTGTTTATGTTTATGTTTCCGTTTGCTGCTTTTGTTTATATTTGTTCGCTCTGTTTTCATTTCATTTTGATTATGTTGATAGTTGCGGTTGTGCGTTTGAATTTGTTTTCTTTGTGTAAATGTTTTCTCTTTGTTTATATTTGTTTTTGTTTATTTATATTTGTTTCCCTTTGATTATATTTATTGTTTTTGTTTGCTTGCAATTGTTGTTTTTGTGTATATCTGTTGGTTTTATTCCTATTTGTTTGTTTTGTTTATGCTTATTTTTATAGATATTCTTGTATTTGTTTGTTTTATTGTGCAGAGCCTTTTGCTTATATTCAATCTCCAGTTCTCTTTGACCCTTCTTTAAATCTTTCCTACATTGCCACCACCTCCTTCGCACCTGCAAACCCTTAGTTTAGGGTTTAGGGTTTAGGGTTTAGGGTTTTGTTTGTTGGGGCTTCAACCGCATTCTGACGTCTCTTCAAGTGTGTCTTTTGATACATGAATTTGTCTTTAATGAGGTGTATGTACACTCGAGCTGCACCCAAATTCACTGGGGTGTATCTTCACCTCTTCTGGTGTATCTTTACATCTACCTTCACTTATAGTCCATTCCACTTCATATCTGCAGCTTCTCTGAATAAACTCAATACCCTCTGGACCCTCTTGTTCAAGTGCTTGGAACCCTAGGGGCCCCCTTAGGGTCCCCAAGGGGGCCCTACGGGGTCTCCTTAGCGCCCTCTTGGGGGCCCTCTAAGGGCCCCCCTTGGGGGCTTTTCTAGGGCCCTCTTGGGGGCCCCTGTGGGGGCCTTCATTGGGCCCTCACGGGGCCCAGTGGGGGCTTCCTTAAGGCTCTCTTGGGGGCCCCCGTCGGGGGCCTCTGGGGACCTTCGTGGGGGCCCCCTTGGGGGCCGCCTTAGAGCCCTCATGCAGGCCTGCTAATGTGCATCTTGGGGGCCTTCTTAGACCCTTCTTTAGGGCCCCCATAGGGAGTTCATAGGGCCCTATTAAAGCCATTATAGGGCCTTTTACATTCTTTTGAGGGCCCCCTTAAATTCTTTTTAGGGCCCCCTTAGGGCCCCCCGCCTTTGAAAGTGGTAGGGGGTTGAGAAGGTCGTTGGGGGCCCCCTTGGACACTTCTAAAGTGTGGTGGCCCTGTGGGGCCCCGAGGCCCCCGGAGGCCCCCGCATCACCTCTTTAGGGGCCAGCAGGAGACCTTTTATGGCTTATATTATTAATTGTTATTATTGTTGTTATTATTAATTGTTATTATTGCTCTTATTACTAATTGTTATCATTGTTGTTATTAATTATTATTAGATATTTATTATTATTATTATATGAATTGGTTTAAACAACAATGGCCTGCTAAGAATTAGGGGGGCCCCTAAGAAGAATATTAATAAAAATAGGAGAGGGGTCCCTGCATTAAGTTAATGGTGGGGGGGCCCCTCCTGCTTTGAGGGCCTTTCTTCTTCGTGGGGTCCTCTCACTTTCTCTCACTTTTATTTATTTATTTATTTATTTTATTTATTAGTTGGGAGTTGGTAGGCTGCAACGCCTTGCGGTGTACGTACAGCTACCTTTGTCTGACTCTAATAACCCTCCTTCTCTATGAAGTGGAGTTTTATGCTCTTTTATTTCAGTTAGTCTCTTCATTTTATTGTATTTTATTTTATTTTGTTTTCTTCGTTTTGTTTGTCTTGCGTAGTTTAGTTTTATTGTGTATGGTTTTTTTGTGTGTTCGTCGTTATTTCTTTTGTTTTTCTCTTTCTCTCCACTTTGTTTTATTTTTTCTGTTTAATGCGGTTTAACTCTATCGTTGCATTTATATATTTGAGGGGCGAAAGGGGGAAGCAAACTCTTTTAATATATTTGCTGTTGTTTATTTGTTTGTTTGTTTGTTTTAATTCAATACGAATAAATTAGAACAAAACAATCTTTTGTTCAGGTGTACAGACACCTCCTCAGAGTATTTCTCTATTTATGCATTCTTAGGCTATGTAAAATAACGGTTCATATTTTGTTTCTTTTTTGCGTTTTGTTTGTTTTATTTTTATTTATTCGTTTGTTTTGTTTTAAATCCACGTAAATGAGAGACATTTATTTAATTGTAGCATCTAACAAAACAACAACAAAAGTAGCAAAGTAAAAAAAAGTTATAACAGGGGCTGCTGAGGTGTACGTACACTCCAACCGCCCCCCTGTCCCATCATCTGCAGCAGAAGCTGCGGCGGGGCCTCGGGGGCCCCAGGAGAGACAATTAAAGGCCCAGGTAGCTGAGGAGGCACCGAAGGCAGACGTACTGTTGGCAGCAGCAGATGCTGCTGCTGCTGCAGCTGTTGCTGTTGCATGAGCTGTTGCAGCGGCTGCTGCTGCAGAGGCAGCTTCATTTGCTGCAGCGGCTGCTGCTGCAGAGGCAGCTGCATATGCTGCAGCGGCTGCTGCTGCTGTTGCAGTGGCAGCTGCTGCGGCATCCAAACAGTGGCAAGCCGGGGCTGTAGCTGCATGTGTGTGGAGGGGGGAACAGAAGCTGGTGCAGCAGCAGGAGACACAGCAGCAGCAGCAGCAGGAAATACTCCTGTGCAGTTCTCCGTTTCAGCAGCAGCAAGGAACGGGGTTGCTGGTGTTGCTGCTGCTGATGTTGCAGCTGCTGCTCTTGTTGCTGCTGCAGGTGCCGCAGCACTTTCAAGGGGCCCCACTCTGGGAGACACGAAGCACGGACGCCCTCTGTAGGTATCTGCAGCAGCGGCAGCAGCAGAAGCAGCAGCAGGGGCTGGTAGACCTCTGTGGGTGTTCATTAATCTGGGTTGTACTGAGGAGGCCCTTTGGGGGGCCCCCAGCCTGAGGGTATTCCAATACGTTGCTGCTGCTGCTGCAGCAGGAGAAGGAGACCAGTGATTCATAGCCCTGCTGCTGCTGCTGTTGTTGCTGCTGCTGCTGTGTTGCTGCTCCTCCTCCTGCAGCTGCTTCTGCATCAGCAGCCGACCCCTCTGCTGTAACTCGCTAGACAGCAGGGACATCTGCTGTTGCTGCAGCTGCTGTTGCTGCTCCTGCAGCTGCTGCTGCTGCTGTTGCTGCTGCTGCTGTTGCTGCTGCTGCTGCTGCGATAGACCATTTGAATCTGTCTCCTTGGGGATCTCCTCTGGGCTTCCAGGGGTCTGTGCGTCTGTCTCCTGCTGCAGCAGCACCAGCTGCTGCTGCCGTTGCTGCTGCTGCTGTTGCTGCTGCTGCTCTCTCTGCGCCAGGGCCTGCACATGCTGCTCATCTGTACACAGGTCAACCAACTGTCGCTGCTGTTGCTGCTGCTGCTGCTGCTGCTGCTGCTGCTGCACTGCTGCATCCTCCTCCTGGGTAGGACCCGTTTGCGTGCCTCCCCCATACATTCCAGCGGTCTGTAGGCCGCCAGGATTTGCTGCAGCAGCAGCAGCAGCAGCAGCTGCTGCTGCTGCGTCGGGGGCGTTTATAAGGCATCTGTCTGCTGCAGTGTTGGCTGTGGTTTGGGGCTGCATGCAGTGGGGGCTGCTGTCGCTACACCTGAGGCCTCCACTGTCTGATGCTCTTAGTTGTGGAGCTCCCTCCAGTTGCTGCTGCTGCCATTCCTGCTGCTGCTGCTGCTCCTCTTCCTGCTCCTGCTGATGCTGCTGCAATTCCTGCTGCGGCCGCGGCTGCAGTTCATGTTGTTGTTGCTGCTGCTGCTGTAATTGCTGCTGCTGCTGCTCCCCTGTTTGGTGGGTGAGTCGATGCGTTTCCTCTTCTGGTTGGTGGCGATGATGCTGTGGCTGCTGCTGCTGCAGCAAGGTTTGCTGCTGGGTCTCTGGAAGCAGCAGCAGCTGCTGTTGCTGCAAGCCACCCTGGTGCAGCACTCCCTGGTGCTCCGCGTGTAATTCTTGCTGCTGCTTCAGGCCCTGCTGCTGCTGTTGCTGCTGCAATTCCTGCTGCTGCTGCTGCTTTTTCTGCGTGTAGGGAGACAGCTCGCTCTCCACGTCTGCTGCTGCCGCAGCATCCGCTGGCCCGTGGGGCCCCTGCTGCAGCAGTTGCTGCTGCACTGGTAGGCGTTGCTGCTGCTGCTGCTGAAGCTGTACAGAATAAGGGGATTGGAGCTTCTGCTGAGGAGATGTGGTTGTCAAGGCAGTATCAGGTTGTTGCTGCAGCATCATTGCTGAGTGATGCTGCTGCTGTAGTTGCTGCTGCTGCTGTAGCTGGTGCTGCTGCTGTAGCTGGTGCTGCTGCTGTAGCTGCTGCTGTAGCTGTAACTGCTGCAGTAGCTGTTGCTGCTGCATTAGCTGTTGGTGCTGCAGTAGCTGATGCTGCTGTTGTAGCTGCTGCTGCTGTAGCTGTTGCTGCTGCTGCTGCTGCGAAGCTGAAGCACACGGAGGCAGCAGCAGCAGCGGCGTCTTCGGGCTTGGCAGCAGCAGTCGTGATACGGCTGGGGGCGTTTGCTGGAGCATGCTTTGCTGCTGTATTTCACTTGCAGCAAAGGCAACCTGTTGCTGCTGCTGCTGCTGTAGCTGTTGCAACTGTTGTAGCTGCTGTAGCTGCTGTAGTTGCTGCTGTTGTAGCTGCTGCTGCTGGATTTCACCCATGAATATAACGGGTGATCTGCCGAGCGTGACAGGCCATGCGCGTGGGGTCACTTGTTCTTGCTGCTGCTGCTGCTGCTGCTGTTGTTGTTGCTTTTGCTGCTGCTGCTGCTGCTGCTCAGGTGACTGCCTGTGGTGCGCGTCTGAGGGGTAGAGGGAAGGTTTAGGGAGAGTAAGGGGGGGAGGGGAAGCTATCCGTTGCGGCTGATGCTGTTGCTGCTGCTGCTGCTGCCTATGCAGCTGCTTTTGCTCCAGCTGCTGCCGCTGCAGCTGCTGCCTGTGCAGCTGCTTTTGCTCCAGCTGCTGCTGCTGCAGCTGCTGTTGGTGCAGCAGCTGTTGTTGGTGGAGTTGCTGCTGCATAAGGTGCTGCTGCTGCTGCTGCTGCCTTGGTGTTGCGTGAGGGGCTGGTTGAAAGCTGGTGGGTGTATTTGCTGCAGCAGCAGCGTTTGCTGTAGCAGCAGCGTTTGCTGCAGCAGCAGCAGCGTTCGCTTGCTTCAAAGACAAAGGCATAGGGACCCTCTGAGAATGACGACTGCTGCTGCTGTGGATTTGCTGCGAAGGGTCTGGTCTTGCTGAACGCGCTGTTTGCTGCTTCCACCCCACATCTGCTGCTGCTGCAGCTGCTGTTGCTGCAGCGAATTCAGCACAGCGCAAGGCAGCACAGACACAGAGGGGTTGTCCTGCTGCTGCTGCTGCTGCTGCATTTGAGATGTGTTTGTGTTGATTTTCTGTCTGTTCTCCATCGCTTGTTTTTCGTTGCTGCGTTGTTTATTTTAGGTATTTGTTTGTGTTTGTTCGTTTGCTGCTGCTGCGCCTCTGTGTGTCTGCTGTTTGCTGCATCTTTTCTTTGTTTTTTATTTGCCTGTTGAGGTGTACATTAAATTCCTTCTTTTCTGTCTTTGTTTGTTTCTATGCGGTGCTCTTTGTCTTTGTTTGCATGCAGTGCGTGCATCTCCTTCAGGCTGTCTCTGCATGCGGGTTTAGGGTTTAGGGCTTATGGGTTAGGGTTTAGGGTTTAGGGTTGTTTTCTTACTGTCTTTACCTCTCTCTCTTTCTTCTCTGCACTGCCGCTGCAGCTGCTGCCTGTTTGATGCTACGCGGCTTCTTCCTTGCACCACATATCGCCCTCGCCCGCTGTTGCTGCTGTTGCTGCTGCTGCTGCTGCTGCTGCTGCTGCTGGAGGCAGAGGTAGGTGTGGGTGCGTTGAGTGTTTTTTCTGTTTCTGTTTTCTTGGCTTTTATTTCATTTCTGTCGTTGGCTCTGTTTGCCTCTCCTTCTTCATCAGGCGACCCAGTGGGGTATAAACTGCTGCCTCCTTTCCCCTTGTTGTTGTTGCTGCTGCTGCTGCCGCTGCTGCTGCTGCAGCAGCAGTTGGTGTTGCTGCAGCAAGTGGTGGTGCAACAGACGCAGCTTCTGCTGTTGCTGCTGCTGCTGCTCTCCTTTCTCCTTAAGGCAGTTCCTCTTTCTGATCTGATGAGAGGCTTCGGCTCTTCTTGCTGCAAACTGCAACAACCAAGACACCCCCTTCCTCCATCCCTTGTTGGTGTTGCTGCTGCTGCTGCAGCTGCAGGCTCGTCTGCTGCATGTTCCGCTGGTGCTGCTCCAGGAGTCGCGGGTAGGTTGCCCGCTGCTGCTGCTGCTGCTGCTGCTGCTGCTGCAGGGTGTTCTGGGGAGGGGAGGGAAGGCAAGTCAATGGGTTCAGCAGAGTGGAGGAGGCTGCTGTTGGGGTTAGTGCAGCAACCCCACAACTTAAAAAGGTGCCTAGACACCTGAGCTGCGTTGTCTTCGCCAGTACCAGCAGCACAGGGAGGGTCAGGAGGTTCTGTGAAGCCGCCGCTGCTGCTGAGAGGGGGAGGCAGCTGTGCTGCTGCTGCTGCTGCTCCTGCTGCTGCTGCTGGGTTTGCTGCTGCTGCCGCTGGATCTGCTGTTGCTGCTGCTGAGTTTGCGGCTGGTGCTGCTGCCGCGACGGCCCAATCAGTACGGTTTGCTTCCCCTAGGGTATTAGTGGGGGGAGGCAGCAGGGCCTGAAGGGAGGCATACCTGAGGTGTACATACACCTCAAGATGCTTCTGCTAATTAAACACACCGCTGCTGAGCCAGACAGACTGTGCAGCTAAAATGCAGTTGTTATATACAAATATAATAATCAGAAAGGCCAGCAGATGATATAGATATATATCTACGTATATATATGTATACATAAATTTATATATATATATATATATATATATATAGAGAGAGAGAGAGAGAGGGTGTAGCAGCAACGAAGACATAGAGACAGAAAGAGAGCGACAGAGACAGAAGGAGAGACGGAGACAGAGAGAGAAAAGGAGCCTTCAAGTTTGTGTTTTATTATTTACAACTAACCAATTCGTTTGCTTCAGTTTATTCCAACACCCCAACTCAAACTCATGACGCGCCTCCTGCAACAAAATGCAAATAAAACCCTCGGCACTAGCCGCCCCTCCGTTCTCTAATTATAGCTGCTGCTGCTGCTGCTACTGCTGCTGCTGTTGCTGCCGCTTCTATTACTGCTGCTGCTGCTGCTGCCCTCACAAGCGCGCAGAAGAGAAATGCACAAGAAATCCATTCAAGGGAAGTAGCAGAAACAAACAAAACAAGAACAAAGTCAAAACAAAAGCAAAGGCAAGAAAACAAAAGACTATAAAGCAAAAACAAACAAAAAATAAAAAGGAGCAGAAGATAAATAAACAAAGGTAAGGACAAGCAAAAACAAACAGAGACATATAAAAACAAACAAAAACAGAGGTCTGAAGACGATCGCATGCAGTTGCAAACCGCAACGGAAGAAAAATTGAAAAGCCGAAAAAAGACATGGCTCTGCTGCAACAGCAGCAGCATCATCAGCAGCATCAGCAGCAGCAGTGACAGCAGCAGCATCAGTGGCAGCAGCAACTGCAGCAACAAATAGGAGCTGAAGAGAAACGAAAAAGTGTTGAATTGCAACTTACAGGAGGCAATTCATGCTCTATGGCTCTAAATCGGCTTTCAAGTCTGTGCATACACCCCAAGCAGCAGCAGCAGCAACATTGGGTTTGTCTTTTTTTACAAACAAATAAATGAATATGTTGTGTAGAAACAGAGAATAATAAACAAACGCATGCAGAAGATGGGCAGGCTCCCTAGCAGAAACGCAGAAGAAATCAACAGACAAAGAGAAGACAGAAAGAAAGCAAAAAGGCGTCGTCGTCCTGTGCTGATGAGGTGTACGCACACTGCAATTGATGTAGCGCAATATATTTCTGTTGTGGATGCATGCAAAGTACATGTAGGTCTGAGCGGACGAAGAATTAATAACAAAGCCTGGCCCCTTTCACGTATTTATTTGTGTGGGTATTACTTTGCAGGATAAACAAACAAAAGAAACAAAACAAGTAGATACAGCTGCGCGTACACCCGGAACAGCGCATGCAACTATGTGCTTAACTGCGTTTCATCACATGCATGCATGCATGCAAGCTGGCACTTGCATGCCTGCCTGTATGCATGCTTGTTCGCATGCACGAAAGCCAATAGAGCTGCGCCTATGTACAGCGGCTAGGAGGGACCACTGTATGCATATTGGTGGGGCTGTGCCTTCATTTGCTGCTGTGTACATGTATATGTATATACATATATAGTATGCGGTGGATGCGAAGGACATCTTATTCTAGACGAACCTGCACAGCTCTTGCAGCGCGTTCAGTCGTTGAAGCTGCGCCACATACGCACGCAACTAGCCAGCTAGCCAACTTGCCAACTAGCTAGCCAACTAGCTAGCCAACCAACAGCCCAACTAGATAGCCAACCAGCTACCCATCCATCTAGCCATCCAGCTAACCAACTAACCATCTAGCTAGCCAGCGCTCCAACTATTCAAGCAGCGAGCCAGCTAGCCAGCTAGTTAGCTAACCAGGTGCCTCCCTTGCTACGGGCGGGCAAGCAGGCAACAGTTGGGAGAGAGACGAGCTCTGTGGCTTAAGGTGCCGGGGTGTACATACAGCAGCACATGTTTGTAAGAGAGAAGCAAACGAAAGACAAAGTTGCCCCGTCTATCTCCCTCTGCCTTTCTCTCTCTCTCTCTCTTCTCTCTCTCTCTTCTCTCTCTCTCTCGTTCTTTCTTTTTCTCTCTTTATGTTTATATCCATTTATGTTTATATGTCTTTCTACTTGTATCTCTTCAGGTTTTTATGTGTATGTATCTGACCGTAAACTTGAGTTGGTGTGCGTTGTTCATCTCCTGAAAGACAAATTGAAGTTTTCGTCTTAAAAGATTTTCATTTGTATTTGCAAAGTCCTGCCGCGCCTCCGCTTCCGCTCTCTCCACCTCCAGCCCTGCACTCCGTCGGGTGTACAGACACCGCAGAATAAAACCTCTTCTATTTTAGCGCATTCCTGTATTGTTTTCTGATTGGGATCAGCATGGAGGGGGAAAGAGAAATAGACAGATAGATGGGCGGATAGATAGATAGATAGATAGATAGATAGATAGATAGATAGATAGATAGATAGATAGATAGATAGATAGAGACAGAGAGAGAGAGAGGGAGAAAGGGAGAGAGACAGAGAGACAGAGACAGAGACGAGACAGAGAGAGACAAAGATACAGACAGAGGGAGAGAGAGGGAGTGACAGAGAAAGAATGCGACGAAGGCAGCTGCTGCATTGTTAACAGCTCTATTGTTACTACGGCGTAAGCGTCTCTCTAGGGATATCTGCGGTGTACGTACAGCTGCACAACCGCAGCATCGTTGCTTTTGGGATTAACATGTACTTCTTAAATGCCCACAACAGGCAGGACGGAGCTGCATGTATGCATGCAGCAGCAAGGACGAACCTGGATTGAGATGCAGATAACTGTTAGTGTGCTCATGAAATATCCTTTTGCCTGGGGGCCTGCAACACTTTGCACAGCCACTTTCTACTTCAGGTGTGCAGACACCTCCCAGTTTGCTGCATGCACCATTTGCTCTTGCTTATTATTATCTTGCATGGTCAGTGAGGACTGCATCCTCAACAACCCAAACGGTGCGGTGTGTGTGCAGGTGCTGCTGTGTACGTACACCCCAACTTACGTCTCTAGAAAATAATTTACGCATTTCCGGTTTTCTCTGAGGTAAGAAATCAATAAACGACGAAACTCCACCTCAAACAAACAA